GTTCTCCACCTTAGGGACCAAAGCAATCCTGGTAGCATTAACACATCTTGGCATTTCCTTAGTAACAAAGAAATATCTCACCGCGTCTTTGAGATCTGTACTAATGATCTCCCATGCCCGCCTAAAAACAAAGAAGTGTATCCATTCGGACCAGGGGCTTTATCATCCGGGATAGAGAATAAAACAGTCCTAATCTCATCATCAGTGATAGGAGCAATCAAGGGAGAAATCATATCAGAAGGAATGTACCTAGAAAAATACCTAGAAGCCTTCGCGATCCGAGGTTGAGTAGGGGCAGCAAGAAGATCTTTAAAAAAACCCACTGCCAAGTGCCCTAAACACTGACTGTCAGTAATATGAGTACCATTCCCATCAGTCAAACTGTGGATGCGGTTCTGAACTTGCCTGTGGATCAACGACTTATGAAAGAACTTAGTATTATGATCCCCTAAGTTCAGCCACTGAACACAAGATCGCTGCTTAAAAAAAACCTCCTTATCTCGACAAAGACTGAAATACCGATAAGCAAGGTTCCTTTCCTGAGAGATACACTTAGTAGAAAAGGGGTCTCGTTCCAAATTTGCTTGGTTGTCGCCCACTGAGCACTAGCCTCAATCACCTTGCTAGAGATATGGCTGGAATCCCTAACATGTAGAGATTTGAGCTTCCGTTTCGATAGCCCCAATTTCTGCATAAGATGGAACATAGGATTGCCTACAATAGACTCATCCCAAACTGTCTGAACAATATCCATAAAATCTGCACGATCAGCCCAAAAATTTAGAAATTTAAAAGGGAATGGTACCTTGCCACGCGAGAGCTAAACTGGACAACCATAGAGCTATGATTTTAGACATCTCGAGGTTGAAACTCTGAAACTATGGTTGGTTGATCAATGAACCAAGAAAGCGATGCAAAGACCCAATCAAGCTTCCGTAGAATAATCCCATTGTCCTGCTGATTGTTATGCCAAGTATACCGAAGCCCAGTAAAAGGAACTCCAATCAACTCAGTATCATGAATACAGTGGCCAAAATCATCTGTATAACCATACCACGCAGGATCACCATCCACTCTATCAAAGGCTCCCAAAATGGCATTAAAATCACCCAACACAAGCCATGGTAACCCCTCCGAATCAAACTCTGCTGCCTGATCCCTAAGGAAATCCCACAGGTTGCGGCGATTCCCAAGGTTATTAGAACCATAGACGGTAGGCAATAGAGTCTGTCACATTTGACAAATTGCCACGAAGGACAAACTATCGAGATCACCGACTGTAGATGAGACTGCTAAACCTTACTTTCCAACAAACTAATCAAACCCAAAGACGAATCAGAAATTCAATTCCTCACCATGCGTTGTTTCGAGAAGCCGTTAAGGCCTCTTATATTCCAACTCCCTATCATTGGAACTGGGATAGAAACAAGCTATACAATCACTTGGGCCTAGGCCCCCGTTTTCCCTGGCCCTTCCCTTTTTTCAAGGGTGGTAGGGAAACTGATATAGATAAGTTGGCATCTGGCGTCTAGAGATCATCACTATGCAGAACAAGCGAGACAAACCTATTGGAGGAAGTAGATTGCCTGCTCACAGAACTCATAAGGGAAGCCTGAGTGTTTCCTGTGCAGTTTGTGAAGCCCATAATACGGTCCTTCTCAACTTCGATGGGAAAAGGCATATCAAGATCTGACCCATAATCAGAGTTGGAGAATTCACCTCTACTGGCACGAACAGTCTCCTGATATGGCATCAAATCCAAAGAAACATCCCCAACTGTAGCTGCACTATAATGCATGGTAGTAGCCCCATCCGGAACTGAAACCCTAGTTGGTGTTGAAACATCCCTCTGCCACTCCTCCTCCCTAATGGGATCAGTAGTAGCTGACTGTCTCAAAGGCTCGTGGTCCTCAGATTGCACTACAATACCACTCCCGATGCCTTTTGGAAGCTAATAATTGTCTTACTCTTATCTTGAGCCATAGGTGTAGTATGTATCTCTGGTTGGTGACAAACATGGCCAAAAACACAGAATTTGGGGCATCTCTTGGGGGTCCACTCATATTCCACTGTAATCTGAATGGGTTCAGTAGATAACCGACATTGAAATTCAAATTGGCGCTTGAGAGGCTTGGCTGCATCTATCTCAGTACATACCCGTGCATAATCTAAACGGGTCCGTTCAGAAGTAGTCTTATCACTCGACAACGGCCGACCTAACATAGAAGAAACCATGCAAAGTCCATTGTGAGACCATAAAGGATAAGACAACCCATGCAAACGAGCCCATACCGGAACCTTGGAGATACGACTTTTATCAAAGGAAAATTGAGCATGCCATTATTGTAGAACAATCGACTTGCCCCCAAACATCGACGACCCTCTCTCTAGGATTGAATGCACCGCATCCTCATCCCTCAATCTGAAGATAAAGAAACCAATACCAGTGGACATAACATCCTCTAAACCCACAGCTTTCCATGCACGGAAAGCAATTGAGTGGGCAGCATGAAATGGCATAGAATACCCTGGAAAATAACCCACAATACAGCGAAGCCACTCAGCATCATTGTCATCAATAACATCATCCGGGATATGTAAGATGTCATCCTTAATATCAAGGTCCATAGCTTCAAGGGTGAAATGGGACCTAAACTCTGTCACTCTAACCTTATCCGCCCAAGAGGAGGACACTTCTAATGTGCTCTTACCCAGACTTTTCTTTTCTAAAACTGGCTTAGAAACTGAATGTTTTTCCTGGGGCTCTGAAGACGCCCAATTGAGCTTGAAAAGCTTCTTAAACTTTGGCATTTTTAAGCCATTAAAAGATAGCAATGATGAACCTGCATTATCATTAGATTCAAACTCAAGAAAACCAAAGGAAGAGTTTTTGTGATGAAAAACCTTGGCTCCTTGAATCGCCACGTCTGAGAAAGTGGATAGTAAATACTTGTCATCCATCCATGGCTCCAAATCTCCAATCCATAAGGATTTCCCCAAATTTTCAGAATTTTGTGGCTGCTGGGAGGTGGTGGAGGTAGTATTTAAAGTGTTGGCTTGGGTTGGATGCAGCATGGTGTTATTTGGGAGTGGGGGATTTGGTTCGGGCATTTTGTCGAACACTTGGTGGCAGGAAAAAAATGTGCGATTTAGGTGAGTTGAAAGGTTCAGAACAGTAGGGATTTGTGAAAAAATTCCAGGGGTGAAGGGTTTCGGTGTTGGAAAAGAAAAGGTGGTCAGGAGGGCCAACAAGTGGCGAGGCAGCAGCAGGTGTTGGGCATTGGGCGTGCGCAAGCAGCAGGCTTGCGCATAGAGCCTGCAGGACGGGCAACTTTTATTGAGCAGTTGGAGTGCATGATAAAAGCTTCCTCAAAACTTGACCAAAGCTGACCAAATTAAAACCACTATCTCCAGAAATCTGCAGCAACAAACCACAAAAAATGGCAAAAAAAAAAAAAAAAAAAACACCAAAAAAAAGTTCCACGAAGTTGGCAAAAAACCCAACCAAAACACCAAGTTCTCGGAAAAAAACAAAGGGTTTTGCCAGAAACCAGCAATCAACAAGATGCAAACAGCTGGGGAGATTGAAGAGCAAGCCCAGAGGAGTCAGTCGTCATCATCCATTGCAATTCCTGACCGAAAAACCCATCAGAAAATCCAACCCAGTTCTGCAGTTTCCGTGAAGTTTCACGGCGAAATCCCGGTGAACGAAGAGTAAACCGAGGCGGTGATAGACGATGAGACAGAGCATCTCAAGATCTTTCCAATGGTGGGTGGTCCAGCGCCGGATGCACCCAAAGGAAGCCGATGAAGTTCCGAGAGTGGGAGAAATTTGAAAGGAAAACGCTAAAGCGTGTGGCTTACACTCGCACGTACTTGCGTGATTTTTTAGTTTGGTTATGATTATTATTTCAATAGTGATTTTATGTTGTTATTGTTAACAATAACAACATAAAATCATTATTTCAATATTCAACAAATAACGTTATATATAAAGTAACATGTCTAGAAGAGTATAGATAATTTAAAAAATAAAAAATAAAAGATGAAGCAAAATCGTATAATATTAACATTATATTAGTTAAATTTATATATTTATTATTACTATTTTAAAAAATTCAAAGTTAGGGGTGAGAATATGTGACATTTTTGTCACTAATTAGTGTTGGAATATATTTATGATAACATAAGTTATTTATTCTCTCATTTTTCATAGCTTAAAATATAAGCTCATTTATAATTTTTTTTTTAGGTAACAGAAGTATCTAAGCTCACATTGGAGCCTGCCTAATTCTCAAAGCTATCGGAACATTTAGACAACTCTAGTAGTGATAAAAAGTGAAGCTTTATGAACTCAGTTTTTATCTTATTCCAATTTTGCCCTTAAGAGTCATGGTTATTCCATTTCTTGGAATATTATAGAATATGTTCTATAGGAAATATTATGGTAATACAGTATATGAGAATATGTTTGATATTTATATTATATGAGAATATGTTTGATATAGTAATTTAAAATTATTTTCGAAAATAAAATTTATAGAAAACTCAAGAAACAACTGTTTGGTTTTACGCTAGATTTTTAGGTTGTATTGGGATACCATTTTTCAAAATATTTCTTTTCATTTCAACCAAAAGTGTATTCATAAGATTTTTTATGCCCCTTATTTTTATAAACAAAAAACTGTATTTAAATTCTATACAAAGAAATCCCTAATTTTCTTTTTAAAACTTTTACACTAGTTTTAGTGATTATAATTGAGAATTATTTTCTAAAACATTTTGACCATAATGTTATAATATTGAATTTCTTAAAATGAAATATTATATTTCAAATTTCATATAAAACATCCCTAAGGATTTGTTATTAACGGTAGAATAATATTTTGAAAGAAAAGGGCTTAAATAGGCTTATCTTTGCAAAATGTTGAAGTTATTTGAAATTTGAATTTTAAATTCATCACTTCTAGTCAAAATTATCTATATCACTCTACAATTAAAATTTTAAACCCTAATTTACTGTACAAGTAAAATTCCATACTTGACCGTTATTTCCTCCAATTCCCCATCAATGGAGGAAGTCTGTGAAGGGAAAGACTTCTCCTTTCTGCTTCAGGAGGAAAAGATTCTCCAATACTGGAATTCAATCAAGGCTTTTGAAACCCAATTAGCTAAAAGCCTGAACAATCCTGAGTACATCTTCTAGGATGGCCCGCCGTTCGCGACGGGGCTGCCTCATTACGGCCACATCCTCGCCGGGACCATCAAGGACATCGTCACGCGCTACCAGTCGATGTTGGGGTTTCACGTGAGGAGGAGATTCGACTGGGACTGTCATGGGTTGCCGGTTGAGATTGAACTTGATAAAAAATTGGGGATTATCAGGAAAGTGGACGTGTTTGAAATGGGAATTGATAAGTACAATGAAGTTTGTAGGAGCATTGTTACTAGGTAACTTTTAATTTATTTTTTGTTGAAAATGAAAGATTTTGTGAAGTTTTAGGGCATATATGGGTATGTGGTAACCGTTGAGTTAAATGAAGCTTTTAGGAGTATCAATTTTGATTTTTTGATTTTTTTTTTTTTTTAAATAAGAAAATGAATCATTTTGTGAAGGTTTACAGAAAAAAATAGATTGATTTATTGGGTATGTGGAAATTCATTAGTACTCTGAAGTCTGTCGCACTATCATTACTGGGTAATTTTATTTTATTTTTGGATGAGAAGGAATTGTTCTGTGACGTTTTAGAGCTTAAAATCAGATTAAATTTTGTGGGAATGTGGCAAAATGATGAGTACTGTAAAGATGTAGGAGTATTGTTTCTGGCTAATTTTTATTTTTTGGTGGAGAGGGATGATTGTGTGAAGTTCTAGACCTGGTTGTTCAATATTGTTTTTGTGGCTCAGCAGTGGAGTGTTGTTTATAGATATTTTTATTTCATTTTATTTTTTTCCGATGAAAATTAATGATTTTTGTTAAGTTTATAGCTTAAATTAGGTTAATTTTGTTTTTCTTTATATGGGTAGAGTATTTTAACTAGGTAATTTTTTTTTTTTTTTTCATGAAAATTGAAAAAACCCCATTCAAAAACACACAGAGACACTCAAAAGTCTCTTCCTTGAACATTCAAAAACACTTCTTTCAATTCACAAACCTCTTTCATTAGCATCCTGTAAAGTCTTAAGAGCCTGCAAAAACCAGAAAGACACTTAAAATCCAGAATAGCGAAAAAACCCCACAGCCCAGTATTCAATCATTCGCCGCCACCGAAAGTTCCACCTGACCAGCAATTTTGAGCATTCTCCTTTTGAGTTTTTCTTAGGCGTTGGCATGGTTTGTCTAACTCCCTGGTCTAGGATATTTTGTCAGCATTTCATTTTGTGTGATAGAGAATCTAGGATCTAGTTACTTTAGAAAACAGTTTATTTAAGAATTTAAGTATTTCAGTGAGATTATTTTGGAATTTAAAATTTATGTCAAATTATTTCTTATCTGAAAGTTGTTTTAGTAGGAGATTTTTGTTTATATTTTTTATTTTGTATTAGCCACTATAGAAATGGCTTCTTTAGGTTGTTGTAAAGAGACTATGATTTATGAAATTATATTTTTTCTCTAATTCTAATCGTTTCTTCCCCTAATTCTTCTTTATTTTTCCCTTTTCTACTCTTCTAATTCATCTCCTGTTTCGTTCTACTCTCTCTTTATCTTTCTTTCTTTCTTTCTCAGTTCCATTCTGTAACTCTCCCCCTTAGGTCTATCATTCTGGTACTATATCTCTCTCCCTTAATTTTTTTCATTCCAGTGGTTCATAAAAAGTGCTTTCACTGACGTGGAAGTTTCAATTTTTGTTCTTAAATAAGAATTTTTTATATCTGATATTGATTCAAAGCTAGTCAAACCTAAGAGCATAAATTAGGCTAACTATGTTCTTGAACTTTGGTTTTGCGTTCTACTTTTTGTTGAGAGATATTATAGATGTCCCTATATGTATATAATAATAATAATAAGAATATATGATTTTTATTGCCCTTTTTCTTTTACCTTATAATTAGAAAAGAAAAATGAAAGTTTAAATTTTATTTACTCATGTTAGATTTTTATTGATTATATCTGAATCTATTTGATTAAAATATTATTTAAAAATCTCTTTATAATTTATAATAGAAATTTTGATGAATTTACAAAATAGGATGGTTGTTTCAACAATTTCAAGAGAACTTTTAGATGAAATTCAAATCGAGTAGGGTCTGTTTCTTTTTTATTTTCAAAAAAAAACACACACATAAAAAAAAAAAAAAAAAAAAGAAAAAGAAACCCAAGTATGTTGTTAGGTTTTTCTATTCTTGAATAATGAAATAGATTTATGATGATTTATTTGTCACTAGATATGTGGAAGAGTGGGAACAAGTGATTACATGGACAGGTAGGTGGATTGATTTTAGAAATGATTACAAGATGATGGACTTTAAGTTTATGGAGAGTGTTTGGTGGGTGTTTGTGCAACTTTATGAGAAGGGACTTGTTTATAGAGGTTTTAAGGTTAGTGACTTCTACTTTCTTGGTTTCTGTTTTTGATAATCTGTACTGGGAATTCTCTGGTATTGTTGTGTTGTTTTGCTGATTGTTTGCTTTATTTAATGATCATGGACAACTATAACAATTCTTAGTGTTTTCAATGTTTTAATGTGGCTCTAAAATGCTTGTGCTTGGTTCTGATATCAGCCTTTAGGGAGCCTGGGGGTTTTGGCGGGGCTGGTGGGTTAGTGTGGAGATGTTGTGTTGGTCTTTGGGGTTTGGTTTTTGAGGCTGTGTTGTTTGTTCCCAGAGTGCTCCTTCTTTGGTTGCTTGTTGTCTTGTGGCCAGATGGTTTCTTCTTTTTTTGCTTGCTACCATGCCTTGTGTGCAGGTGGCTGGAGAGCGACAGTAGGCTGTGTGGATTTTTGCCATGGCTAGGTGGTTTTCTTTGGCTGGTTTCAGCTGCTGCTACCGGTTTGGAGAGCCTTGGGCTACTGTGGTTGCGGCTGGGCTGTTGGGGTATTAAAAAAAAAAAAAAAAAAAAAAAAAAAAAAAATTCTTGAAGTGTTGGCTGATGGTTCTCTGCTGCATTAGCTAATTTTCACTTGTCTTCATCGCTTTAATTGGCTGACATTATCAATTATTCTTGAGGTGTTGGCTGGTTTTTTTGCTGCTTTTTGTGGCAGTGTTATTTATCTGCTAGGTGGTGTTTTTGGGTTTGTGTATAGGCTTTTGTGCTTCGGGTGTGGGCTGTTTTGTAAAGGATTGTACATCCTTGCTTCTCTTGTTCTCTTGAGCCGTCTCGTTCCCTAGTTTTTTCTCCTAGGGTTGGGGTGCTAGGGAGTTTTCTCCCTCTTTAGGTTTTAATTCATTATTTTTTATAAAATTACCATTTATCGGAAAAAAAAAATGCTTTTGCTCGTACTGATGTTTTAATAGGTCATGCCATACATTACTGGTTGTAAGACGCCACTGTCTAACTTTGAACCTTGCCAAAACTATAAGGTTTGTGTTTTCACCCTTTTGGTGATATTCATTGTATCATTGCATGGAAATTGAGTTGTCAAATAGTCATCATTGGTGTTATTCTTATTCTTGGTAATGGTGGTTTGATATAATCAAATGTTTGTGTTTTAATTTTAATGGTTTGTGTTTTTATTTTAATGGTTTGTGTGAATATACCAACTTGGAAGCATAGTAAAATAGGAACTGTTTATGTTTTGGGCAACTACTGTTTTGGATCCTAAATATTGATTATTGTTGTGTTTGCCTATTTTTGACACCTTGGGGGTGATATAGGATGTACGTGATCCTGAAACAATGGTGTCTTTTCCAATTGTTGGTGACCTAAACAAGGCAGCTTTTGTGGCTTGGACAACAACTCCGTGGACCCTTGTAAGCAATCTTGTTCTTCGTGTTAATAAAAATTTTAAATATGTGAAGGTCAGCTACCTTTGATTATCTTTAATTTATTGTTGTTTTGATTTATACTTTGAGCATGAAGCGTCGTAGGCTCATTTGCAAGCATGAGGTGTTCTTGAATTTCATTTGCCTAATGTCCTGCTACAGTTCGTTAGGACTCTATTCAAAGACTAAGAAAGTGCGTATGTGCATGCATTTATGTTCTTTTGTGTTGACATGACTAAGTTCTAATTTTGCGAATTTAATTATCATTCTAAAATGTAATCAAGCATGAGGTGTTCTTGAACTTCATTTGCTTGACGTCCTGCTATATTTTATAAAGACTCTGCAAAGACTAAGAAAGTGTAAGGTACCTTTTATTATCTTTAATATATTGTTGGTTTTATTTATACTTTGAACATGAAGCATTGTAGGCTCATTTTGCAAGCATGAGGTGTTCTTTAATTTCATTTGCTTGATGTCCTGCTACTGTTCATTAGAACTCTATTCAAAGACTAAGAAAGTTCATATGTGCATGCATTTATGTTCATGTGTGTTTACATGACTAAGTTCTAATTTTTCGAATTTTTTTTATCATTCTAAAATGTAATCAAGCATGAGGTGTTCTTGAACTTCATTTGTTTGACTTCTTTCTATATTTTCATAAGGACTCCATACAAAGACTAAGAAAGTGCGTAAGTGCTTTATGTTCATGTATGTGTTGACATGACTAAGTTCTAATTATGCGAATTTATTTATCATACTAAAATGTATTCAAGTATTAATGTTCTGGTTTAAATCAATTATTGCACATTAGTTTAGTGAATGTTGTGGTCATTTTACTATTGCAAATGGTATTTGGTTATCTAATCGGGGATTAAGGTAATACCTAGGTTCGAAACAAGCACACTGGAAAAATCTATGTGGTTGCTGAGTCTCGGTTGTCTCCACTGCCCAGTGAGAAGCCAAAGTCTAATGTAGCAAATGGACCTGCTGGTGATTCCAAGAAATTGAGTTCTATGGTCAAGGGATTCTCCGGTAAAAGGGCTCAAGAGGAGGGAGACTAAGTTGGATCTGCCCATAATAATGAATCTTATGAAAAGCTGGGTGAAATCTTAGGGGCTTCGTTGGCAGGAAAGGAGTGAGTCTTTTTATGTTGTGATATACAAAGCTTTTTACTTTATTATTAGCAGTTCATTTTGCAGTTTTTTACTTTATTGTTTGTAGTTCCTTTTGCAGCTTTTTACTTTATTATTAGCAGTTCCTTTTGCAGTTACCATTTAATTTCAGATGGTCAATCTGATCATGCATAGTTTTTTTCTGCAATTTTATTATGGACTGAATTTATTCATGATTTAAGTGTTTTCTATCAAAATTGATGCTTTCCTCCTGAAGGTTTTATCTCTATGGAGTAGTACCCTTGTTGACTTTGGGGTTGTCTACCATGCCATTTATGTTACTATATTTTATATAAATTAGTTATGTTATGTGCAAACAGAGCATAAACTCATATTGGTCATCATTGCTCCCGTTCTTTGAGAAATGTAGTGCTTATTTTTTGTTTTGGAAAGAAACATACTCCTAGTTATTTCACAATCAAATAATCTGAATATATGTAAACATGTAGTTAACATTTTGTTACAAACAGAGAACTGATTGTAATATTTTTCATATTGTATTGACAAATTATACATCAATATATATAGGAAAATAAAGAACTAATCTAGGAAATAAATATTCTAACTTCCTATTTTACATATTTGTTCCTATTATGTATTGATTATAATCCTAATATCTTATTATAGATTTATACACTTAATCATGCAATATCTGTAAGATTTTGCATGATTATCTACAACACTCCCCCTCAGGATGGAGCATAGATGTTAATCATACCCAGCTTGTTACAAATATAATCAATCCGAATCCCATTCAAAGCTTTAGTGAAAACATCTCTTAGTTGCTCTCCAGTCTTCACATATCCTGTAGAAATTAAACCTTGCTGTATTTTCTCACGAATGAAATGACAGTCAATTTCAATGTGCTTAGTTCGTTCATGAAATACAGGATTAGAAGCAATATGAAGAGCGGCTTTGTTATCACACCACAATTTTGCTGGCAAAGAGGCCATAAGACCAACTTCAGTCAAAAACTGATATATCCATGTTACTTCACACACAGACTAGGCCATAGCCCTATATTCTGATTCTGCACTAGATCGGGACACAACAGTTTGCTTCTTACTTTTCCATGAGACCAAATTTCCACCAATAAAAACACAGTAGCCCGTAGTGGATCTCCTATCTATCTTGGAACCCGCCCAATCTGCATCAGAGAAGCACTCAATATTGTTATGTTCATGATTTTCGTACAAAATACTACATCCTGGAGCTCCTTTTAGATAACACAGAATCTGTTCTAATGTTACCCAATGGTCAACAGTAGTAGAAGACATGAATTGACTTACTACACTGACAGAGAACGCAATATCAGGATGAGTGACTTTTAGATAGTTCAACTTTCCAACCAGTGTTATATACCTCTCAGGATCTTCAAATAGTTCACTATCTTTGGTAAGTTGCGAATTAGGAAATATTGGCAGATGCCTTTCTTGCTCCTTGTTACCTCAACCCCTAAGAAATACTTCAACATTCCTAAATCTTTTGTAAAAGACTTGAGTGATCAGACTTGCTTTTTGTAATTCCGAACTTTGCAACTACCTCGCTGAACTTTCCAAACCAAGCACGTGGATTCTGTTTCAAACCATACAATGATTTGCGAAGATGACAAACTTTCCCATACTCCCCCTGAGCAACAAATCCAGGTGGTTGCTCCATATAGACTTCTTCCTGAAGGTCACCATGTAAAAAGACATTTTTGATGTCCAACTGATGTAATGGCCAAGAATGAGTAGCCGCCATAGAGATAAATAAGCGAACAGAAGTCAATTTAGCCACAGGGGAAAAAGTGTCAGAATAATCCACTCCATAAGTTTGAGCATAGCCTTTAGCTACAAGACGAGCTTTAAGCCTAGCCACTGACCCATCAGGATTTACTTTAACAGCAAACACCCATTTGCATCCAATAGGCTTCTTTCCAGTAGGTAAGTCAACCAAGTTCCAAGTACCATTAACATCTAAAGTATTCATCTCTTCTATCATAGCATCACGCCAACCAGGATAAGATAAGGCTTCATGAACAGTTGCAGGAAGGGAGACAGAGTCTAGTGATGCTACAAAAGAACAAGAAGAAGATGATAGGTGATCATAAGAAACAAATGAAGAGATGGGATAAGTACACTAACGTTTACCTTTCCGAAGAGCAATAGGAAGATCAAGATTACTCAAGGTTGGATCCAACGACAAAGAGTCTTGGGTAGGACATGAAGTCTGAGTGTCTTCTTGACAAGGAACATAGGTATCAGGATCACTGGAGACTGGGTCTAACGATGAAGGGACTGGTACAGGAGGTTCCTGTCGACGAGAATAGACAATGCGAAATGGAGGTAGTGGACGGACATGTGGTGGTGCCGGAGGAGGAACAGTAGGTGGGGAAGCCTCAGGTGTGGGAGTAGCCGATAGGGATGTGGCAGTATGGATTAGTAAGTCATCATTCTCCCCTCGACGTGTATAGGTAGAAGAAGTAGGGAAAAAATGGGTGTTTTATAAGAAAGTAACATCAGGTGACATCAGATATCTAATAAGACTAGGACAATAACATCGATATCCCTTCTGAAGGCGAGAGTAACCTAAAAAAACACATTTAAGAGATTTGGGATCTAACTTGGTTACCTGGGGTCGAACATCACGAACAAAACAAGTACTACCAAATATCTTTGGGGCAATAGGAAACAAAGGCTTAGACGGGACGAGAATACTGTAAGGAGTAGAACCATTCAAAATAGAGGAAAACATGCGGTTAATTAGAAAACAGGCCGCAGNGCATCCAATAGGCTTCTTTCCAGTAGGTAAGTCAACCAAGTTCCAAGTACCATTAACATCTAAAGCATTCATCTCTTCTATCATAGCATCACGCCAACCAGGATGAGATAAGGTTTCATGGACAGTTGCAGGAAGGGAGACAAAGTCTAGTGATGCCACAAAAGAACAAGAAGAAGATGATAGGTGATCATAAGACACAAATGAAGAGATAGGATAAGTACATTGACGTTTACCTTTTCGAAGAGCAATGGAAGATCAAGATCACTCAAGGTTGGATCCAACGATGAATAGTCTTAGGTAGGACATGAAGTCTAAGTGTCTTCTTGACGAGGAACACGGGTATCTAAATCATTGGAGACTGGGTCTAAAGACGAAGAGACTGGTACAAGAGGTTCCTATCGACGAGAATAGACAATGTGAAATGGAGGTAGTGGACGGACAAGGGGTGGTGCCAGAGGAGGTACAGTAGGTGGGGAAGACTCAGGTGTGGGAGTAGCTGGTAGGGATGTGACAGTATAGATTAGTAAGTCATCGTCCTCCCCCAGACGTGTATAGGTTGACGAAGTGGGAAAAAAAGGGGTGTTTTCTAAGAAAGTAAAATCAGGTGACACCAGATATCTATTAAAACTAGGACAATAACATCGATATCCCTTCCAAAGATGAAAGTAACCTAGAAAAACACATTTAAGAGATTTGGGATCTAACTTGGTTACCTGGGGTCGAACATCACGAACAAAACAAGTACTACCAAATATCTTTGGGGCAATAGGAAACAAAGGCTTAGACGGGAAGAGAACACTGTAAGGAGTGGAACTGTTCAGAATAGAGGAAGGCATGCGGTTAATTAGAAAATAGGCCGTGGAAACTGCATCGGCCCAAAACTATTTAGGAACTTGCATTTGAAATAATAGGGCTCAAGCGGTTTCAAAAAGGTGCCTATTTTTCCTCTCGGCTACTCCATTTTGAGACGGTGTGTCCACACAAGATGATTGATGAAGAATGCCATGCTGGCTCATATAAGACTGAAAAGAACTCGAAAAATATTCTTTGGCATTATCGCTTCTTAATGTCTGGGCAGAAGTATTAAAATGAGTTTTAACTTCAGAACAAAAGGCACAAAAATGAGAAAACAACTCAGAACGATTTTTCATTAAATAAAGCCAAGTTACACGAGAGTTGTCATCAACAAAGGTAACAAAATATTTAAATCCAGGTTTAGACATAATAGAACACGGACCCCAAACATCTGAATGAACTAATTCAAAAGGGACACTAGCCCGTTTATTGACTCTTGGACTTGAAGAAAGACGGTGGTGTTTGGCAAATTGACATGACTCACAATCTAACGAAGATAATTTATTAAACTGAGGACATAGTTTCTTTAACAATGGTAAAGAAGGATGTCCTAACCGACAATGCGCCTCAAAAGGGGTCGAAATACTGGAACATGCAATGGTTCTGGGTACCTGTGTGTCAAGGATGTAAAGCCCTCCAGATTCATGTCCTTTACCAATAATCTGCTTCGTCGTAAGATCCTGAAACAGGCAATGATCAGGGAAAAATGAGATGCAACATTTAAGAGCACGAGTAAGTTTACTCACAGAAATTAAATTAAAAGCGAACTGTGGTAGACTCAATACAGAGGATAGGGAAATTAACGGAGTAGGGTTAACAGATCCAGACCTAAGAACACAAGAAGTTGATCCATCAGCTAAAGTAACATTAGACGAGGAATTATGTGACTGATATGATAAGAAGAGATTAGGATTACCTGTCATATGATCTATGGCACCAGAATCAATGACCCATTTGAAGGATGAGGAAATAAGACATGTATTTGGTTTACCTAACTCGGGGAGAGCAGTGATGGAAGTAGATGAGGACTTCAATGATTCTTGATACTGAGAAAACTTGGCAAACTCATCAGTTGAAATCATAACCTTCTTTTCAGAAGTATCAGAGCGACAACATGAGCTGACTGAGGTTTCTGGGCCTTATTTTACAATTTTCTACACGTGCGCTTTGTATGACCGGGTTCATGACAATAGTAGCACACAATCCCTCCTGACTCCTGCTCCGATTCTCACAATAATTCGAACCCTCTCCTCTATTATTGCTCCTGTTATATGAATGCCCAGTGTCATGATTATGACTTACAAGAGCACTAATCGATTGAACAGATGGAGTGCTTTCTGT